GTTCCTTTAATATTTGGAAGGGCTTTTATGGCAACTGGTTGAGACCTCATAGATGTTGGGGAAATGAAGTTAGTGTTGAGAGTTGGAGATGAGAGTACCACTTTTAGCATGGCTAAAGTGGCAAAACAGTCTTGTCAGTCCAGAGATGAGTGTTATTTTCTAGACTTCATGGATCCATTAGGGGAGGAGGAAGAGGATTTTCTGCCTTTTAAGGAATCTTTATTTGACCCTTTTTTGGACAAAGGTTCTAAAAAAGGTATTGACCCACTCTCATGTTTTAGTTGTGACCCCAAAATGACCATTTGGTTTCATGAATTCAAAGTTTTGCGCCATCTAAGGGCGTTTGTTGAGCCGATATTTGATATGTGGAGAACGAGTTTTCCGAGTAGGAACATTTTTAATTGAGACATTAAATAGGGTTGTTGCGTCGGACAAACGGAGATAAAAATAACGCTTCTTGGGAGGCAACCCAAGCTTAATTCAGCACATCATATTTTATTTATTTATTTATTTTATTTAGTTTAATCGTTGAATTTATTTAATTCTTGATTCCCTTTTTTGGTCTCTCTGGAGACGAAACTCGTACTTTATCCCTATACTGCTATATCATTTAAGTGCGAGAAAACTCACATCATGATTTGCCTTCCGAAGCAGGCTAGCTACGTATGATAACTTGGAATATCTTAACCTGTTTAACATTTGTCCGTTCTGTAATGGTGGCCCAGAGACGGTACTACACCTCTATTTTGATTGTCATATTACGGGGCACATTTGGAAGATGGTTAAAGACTAGCTAAGGATCTCAAGGAAAATGACATCTCTAAACAGTGTGGTCAAATGGATCCAAAAGGAGTGCAATGGAGCACATATTAGAGCAAATGCAACAAGGATATCTTTTTGCTATACTATATATTGGATATGGCGAGTTCGTAATTAATGCCATATGTTTTGATGGAGCTACACTCAAGATGGAAGATATGTTGACACATATCAGATACATGGTGTATAGTCGTATAGAGTCCTCTATTCTATATGCCCTTACCATATGATTAACTTTTGAAACTTTCATAGTTTCATCACCTATTTTTGTGATGACATGTGCTTGAGATTTAGCTAGATTTTTTGAGATGATAGGACATCCTTACTTCGGATCGCCTATGGTTTTTGTTTTTTGTCTATATGATGTACATATACTTTTGGATGATTTTATACCTATTTATATTTCACCCCAAAAGAAATAACCTAATTAATTGTTCTCATAGTTTCCATGCTAACCAAGGTATGTCTGGTGGTGGGGGCGAACTCTAGCGACGGCGGCAAAAATTAAATCTGGGGGAGGAGATTTTGGCGGCCAGCGACCAATGGTCTGGAAACCTAGGTGCAATAGTGTTTCAACTCTATGAGACTATTTTGGTTCAATCACAAATAAAAAGTCATATATGTGTCATATTTTGGACCTATTTGAGTAAATCTCTCCAGTATATTTGTGTGACATAGTATATTGGTATGACATACTCCGTAGTATATTTGAAGAATTCCTTTTTCAAATGTTTCTATATAGGGTGATTCTAAATACAACTCATTTTTTTACTAAAAACAGCCCACATTAATTAATTTTACAAAGTTACCCTTTGGACTTCTTGAAAACCATCGGAGGTCTGAAAAATAGAGTAGTGCATATCCCATCGGCCTTCATCTCCGTTTAAAGTTCTCCATGTACTCCAAACTATCAATAAAATTGAAGCTGTCTTCCGGGAGTGGCAGATTGCCGCCGGCGCCGTCAAAGAATGTGTACTTGGAGCCGCTGCAGTCATGGCCAGGTAAAATTTCATGGCGGTGTCTTCGTCGGCATCTTCATTTTTACGTAGTACATTGTTCATGTGTTTGATTTTGGGTTGGTATTGATTCTCCGAAAATGGCAAAATTATGGTTTTAGTGATTCATTCTTTATTAGTAACTATTCGATTTATTAATGGCAATTGGGGAACAATGTTTTCTTTTTGGAAGTTTAATTCACGTGAAATGAGATGTTCTCTTAATGGATAATATATAAGGAGCTGGTTGGGATGTACTTGTATAAGGAGATGGCAAATGGAAGTTTACATGCATAGTAACTTAAGTTTGTACACTTCTCTAGTCGTATATATATACGAAAAAATGGCACGCCTATCACTATAGCACTTTCAATTTCCAAAAAGATACTCCCTCCGTCTCATTTTATAACCTATCCTACTTTCCTTTTTGGGCTGTCCCAAAATAAGTGTCCACTTTCCTTTTTGGGAAAGAAATATGTGGCCTACACTAATTCACTTTATTATACTCAAACCTCAACCACAACTTTTACTTTTTCAACCACTTCATTAATAATCATGCCAAGTCAAACTAACACACATAAAATGGGACGGAGGTAGTACAACTTTTCCATTTTCCAAAAATGTGACCCGTATCCACCTCATCCCATCTTTCCCAACCGACTCCCCATCTTCGCTTCTCGTCTTTCGATCCCCAATCCCGTTTGAAGCTCGCCAGATGCTGAGCAAACTCTTCTCCCGCTCCTTCGTCTACAGCAACTCACGTCGCGCCCGATCCCTTCGTTGCACGCGAGACTTTTCTTCACCTCATCAAGGGAATTAGAAACTTCTTCGCCTTCATCTGCCGGCATGAAGCTCTCCCCGCCGGGTCTAATTGCTCTCTATTGGTCGTCGTGCAACTACCGCTCGCCATCCCCGTTGTTGCTATCTTCTTCTCTTTCTTTAGTCAGCGATTAGGATTGGCATCGCCTTGACACCGACCTCTGCGACTATGTCAATGAAGATTATGGCGATTTGGGATTTTAGGTGTTCCATGTCGGGGATCTGATTGACGTTACGCCACCCCTGGCGCTGGCCGGTCTGACTTTGTTGCAGACGGCCAGATCTGATCCGGTTGATTTGGGTCGGGCGGTGATGGGATTGGGCTGGGAGGAGTGGATTGGGGCTGGTTATTGTGGTCGGAGTTGGTGAGCGGCAGAGATTGGGAGGCTAGAGGGAGGCAGATCTAGTTGGTCGGTGGTTGTGACAGGTGGGGGAGGGGCAGTGGGGAGGTCGTTAGGAGTGGATTGGTGCTGGTGGCGGCACTAGGGGTGGTGAGGCATCACTGTGGCGGCAGCGGCGGAAGGAGAAGATCTGAGTTCACATGTCACTGAGGCGGCATCCCCGGCAACGTTGTCATTGTGCCCTGAGTAAATGTGCCTGGAGTCACTGATCGGAGTCACTATGACCGGTAGACGGGTAGTCAGTCACTATGGCCGGTGGATGGCTAGTCACTGTGGCGGTGGAGTCACTGTGGTGGCGGAGTCACTGTGGCTGGAGTCAATGAGAGAGTGACTGGCGCCGACGCCGGCGGTGCCGGAGGCGGCGACAGTGGTGCTGGGGTCGGCGGCCACAGAGGTGGTTGTGGCTGCAAATTATACAAAAGAAATATTAAAATAATAAATGTATGATTAAATACAAGGAATAAATGAGTTTTAGTCACAGTATTAGGAAAATGTAAAACAGATCACATTTTTAACTTTTTCATTCATTTTAGTAATATTGGAATAAAAAGGCCTATATATACTCATATTAATGATCTACAGGAGTGAAAGGAAAATCTTCTTCATCTTGATGATCCACATTCAAGCCAGATCTCTATTGGATCTAAGTCGTCACCTTCCCGGCCATGAACGAAAACATTGTCGGTGACCGGCGCACTTATGTCTCCCAGGGCGGTTCCGCCGCTTGCATGGCAGTAGAGATGTTGATTATCATCACCAACTACCAGAAATCAAGAATTAATCTAAACTTAATTTACCCACCCTGACTGACCTGAATGTATATTATTTAGCTGCTGTTTCCCCTTGTAATGATGAAATTAAATTAAAGTCAAATTTCAGTTCATAAACTAAGAAGATCAAGCTTGAACTGTTCGTTCTGGAAGTCTCCGTATTGCTGTAGAGTTTAAACAGCCACCAAGGCTATAATAGGAATTAAAACTAATACAACTTAATACGTAGTACGTATTAGGGAAGATGTGGCTTTGTATTGCAAAAGGAGGGCTGCCATTAGAATAACCTTGTATAACCTTCTATATAACCTTGTTACTCTATATCACGTTAGGATATGATAACCTTGTCGACCAACTAGTCTAAATGGATGGGCTTGGTATGGCATAGTATTGGGCTTAGATGGCCCAGACTTGGTATTGTTCCAGAATTGAAGCATTGAGTAGTTAATTCATTTATTTTCTATTTGGTTTATAATTTCGGGGTTGATTGGTTTTGGGCTAATCTCGGATAAATTTCATTTGGCAATAAACCAGTCCGTATTCAGTATCAGTTCGGTCTCGGTTATAACTTTTTGAATGACTGAAATGTCGATTCAATTCGTGGGTGGACGGTATCGGTTCAGTTCGGTCTCAGTTATAACTTTAGTCATAATTTTGTAAACAAGTTTTATTTTAGTATATTATTTGCTATAAATAATATGACAACTTTTTATATTATATATGGCTATAAATAATGAGTATGACAACTTTTTTTTTATTCGTGCAATTTCCGGCCTCTTTTGTTATTATAGTTCAATCCTAATTCTGGAAGTAATCTTTTGTAATATTATTTTTAAGTGTCATCAATATGAATATCTAACTAGATTGAATCTCAGCTCGGTCTGATTTGGATAAGATATAAAGAGTCCAAGAAGTATTTTTCATAACAAAACTCCGATCCGTATTAATAACATGAATGGCGTACTATTCTTTCCTTGGTTTGGGTTGTTTACCCTTACCCAAAGAGAAAAACCCAAAACCCCAAAAAGCTAAATCACGCATATAATTACGAGCCTAATTTAAAGCCTAGTCGGATGCAACCCAATTTGGGATACATCTTAATGAAACGCTCACTCCAGTCTCTACCTTTTAAAACAATCGGATAGTAATATACGCCGTAATTAAAGCCATTAATTAATGTTGACAAAACGTACTTAAAAAGGAAACAGCTTCAATAGTGCGTTGATTAATAGGCAGAATTTATTTATTGCTACTTTTCAGCGAGAGAATAGAAATGGCCTTGAAATATTGATCCAAATGAAGGAAACAGAAAACCCGGAAATGTTTCAGGCTCACCAGGATTCCTTCCAAGACCTCGTAAAAGCATGGAAAAACAACCGATTCCAGAACCTGAAACCGTCCGATGTTTTCTTCCCAAGTTCCGTCAAAGGTTTCATAGGAATCTGTTTTCTCGCCGCAATTTCTTTCTTTTCTTTCCTCCTCTTCTGGGAATTATGGGTTAGCCGTTTCCATTTCCACCCACACATATTCATACACACTCCGACAACCTCGGAGCTGAAGATCACTAGTCATGGCGGCGGCCACCGCCGCCAGCCGACGAACATTTCGCATATTCTTTTCGGCATCAGCGGGTCCGCCGGGACGTGGGATGCTCGGCGGCACTACTGCGAAGTCTGGTGGAAACCGGGGGTGATGCGCGGGTTCGTCTGGCTCGATCAGCCGCCGCCGGAAAATGAAACGTGGCCGGAAACTTCCCCGCGCTTCCGTGTTTCACAGAACACGTCCAGGTATGGCGTAGGGTTTATTAGAATGAACTGCCGTAGACAATTTAAAATTACGAGTATAACCTTATTGTGTATACTACGTATTTTTTTAATAAACTTAATTGTGCATATTTTTAGTTTGACTACATGGTTACAGTTTTGTATATGCCTCGAAATAATAAGGAATCCACGACTAAAACAGTTTTGTATGCCTCGAAATAATAAGGAATTCATGACTAAAATAAAGTAACTGTACCCGATTTGATAATATAATGACTTTATGGTAACTTTAAAAACTTTTTGTATATAAATTATATTTTAATAATATGAGCATTTTGACTTATTTGAAATAAAATAAAGTAACTTTACCCAAAGCAACATATACTCTGTATACACTTCAGTCATTATTATTTGCGTTAATTATATAATTAATAATTACGTAACTTGTTTTTTGACTGAAAAAGTTTAATTCAACTCATCAATCAACATGTTCTTAATAATCAAGTAACATCTTGAAAATACTTCATATGTAACGAACATTTGATCAATATTACAAAATCATAAAGTAATAAAGCACCCTGTTTATTGATCGTAAGAGTTTGACTTTTGTGCTATTTACATACTCTATTATTATTATCCTTTATTTATTATTTTTTGAAAATAATACGGAGTATTGAATTGGATTCAACGTAAATATGAATTTTAATTTTTCTTAGAAATAATCAATTGGGTAAATTTGACGTTGTAACTCACTTTTTGGATTATACGAAGTATATGACTTTGTACTCCATTTTCACAATCATTAATATATATGCTCCCTGAGTTCGAAAATTGTGAAGGAATAAAGTGCAAAGTTGAATAATTTTATGTTAAAATGGATGCACACATTAATGATTTTGAAAATGAAATCTCCAAAATTAAGTATCAATACTCAAGCAACAATTTAAGTTCTCTCCAATTTTTTTTATATTAAGAATGTAGTTACTAGTCAATAATATCATTAATGAGAAATTAATGATCAAGAGAAACTATAAATACTTATGTAGTACGAAAATATATTGAGAGCATTAAGGATGTTTTTAATTAGACTATTTTTTATCTGGTCTGAACTGGTTTGGTCCCATTCGGTAGATGTCTATTTTATTGCATCTTACGACACTCAAGTCTATTCTGGTTCAATTTGATCTGGTTTGTGTACCTATGAAATTGAAAACAATCTTATCAAAAAATCCAATGAAAGATCAATATTAAACAATTCGTAAAAATTACTCAATAGATCTAGTTAGTTCTGTTAGGGGGTTTGTCATAATAGGAAAAGGTATATTAGGTCATAGGTGATTTTATTTATTCTTAAACTTCGATGATTGATGGAGAAGTATGTGAAAATGAAACAATAAAAGGTTGCATTTTTAATCAGGTTCCAATACACCTGCCCGTATGGTTCAAGAGCGGCGGTACGGATTGCCCGGATCGTGAAAGAGAGCTTCGAGCTAGGCATGGAGAACGTGCGGTGGTTCGTGATGGGAGACGACGACACCGTGTTCTTCCCGGAGAATCTGGTGACAGTGTTGTCTAAGTATGACCATAGGCAAATGTATTACATTGGGAGCCATTCGGAGAGCGTGGAGCAAGCGGAGGTCCACTCGTACGGTATGGCGTACGGCGGCGGAGGATTTGCCATTAGCTATCCGCTTGCGGCGGAGCTCGTTAGGGTTTTAGATGGGTGCATTGATAGGTATGCCGAACTATACGGCTCCGATCAGAAAATCGCTGGGTGTATGACCGAGCTTGGCGTCCCCCTCACAAAAGAACTTGGGTTTCACCAGGTCAGTCAAATAAGATATGTATTCATCATGTTTGTACTTTGTTGGGCAACTGTGTTTTTCATTTTCAGTATGAAAGTTTAATTTTTTTAAAAACTAGGATGATGACCTACTACAAAATATAACACGATTGACACGGATTGATCAACGACTCCCTGCCAGATAACTCATGACAAAGCGGAATTGACACAGATTTGGTGTATATGTCTCAAATATCTTATATATTCTCGCGAATCCCTATCAAAGATTCATCTCAATCACATTATTTTTTGTGGTGACATTTTAGTTTTAACATTTCAATAAAATTAAAAGATGGCCATTGTCTTTAGTTTTTCAGCTTTGATTATCGTATAAAAATTCAAAATTAATGTTTAGAGTCGTTGTGTGGGGTTATCCTAAACCTTATTTGCACATTGAACAAACATTGAAGAACGGTCTACTTTGAATTATTACTCCTAACCCTCATAAGTGCCCCTTCATATAAAATCAAGTCAAACTACAACATTCGGAGCAACATATTTTAGCAAATTAATGTTAACTAGTTATATCAGACTAAGGCCTTGTTTCGCAATCGATGGTTAGTTGTTAAGATATTTTTACTTAAACTGTAATATGTTGGTCTGGTCTGGTCTGTTTAAGTTTGATTTGGTCTGGTGTGGTTAAGTCTGGTCTGGTTTGGTCTGAACTGATTTGGTCTGGTACGTCTGCTAATGTATGGTCTCTTTGTATTTTATAACTACAGAAGTATGGTCTGGTCTGGTCTGGTCTAGTCTAGTTTGGTCTGGGACTGAAAACAGTCTAAGTAAAAACATCCTTAGCTGGTTATGACTTATGATAGCTGATTGATAATGGGGGTGTTTAGCAATCGGTTCTTGCCTCTTAGGCGTCTTAGCTGTTGGCTAATTGTTTTAACTTATCAATGACAGTGGATTATTTTGGCTGTTTTTGATGAGCTGATATTATTAACAGTTTGTAAAATGATGCAGTTTGTAAAAGACTTGATAGTTTGTATTGACTTGTATATACGTAGTATGATTCATTGAAATTTTTTTACTTGGTTTGTTGTGAAGATGGACATAAGAAGAGACCCGTACGGGCTGCTGGCAGCGCACCCGGTGGCGCCGCTAGTATCACTGCACCATTTGGAGTACGTAGAGTCACTATTCCCCTACAAAAGCCACGACGAGTCGGTCCGCAAACTGGTGGAAGCCTACAAGGCCGACCCGGCCCGGACACTACAACTAACTTTCTGCTACGACCTGAGGAGAAACTGGTCCATTTCAATCGCATGGGGATACACAGTCCAGCTGTACCCAAAGCTGGTGTATGCCAAAGATCTCGGGACGCCATTTCTGACGTTCTCGACGTGGAAGTCGTGGGCAGATGGTCCTTTCACTTTTAACGTGCGGGAGATGAGCTGGGACCCGTGCGAGAGGCCTCTGGTTTTTTACCTGGACAGTGTTGGTGGCTTGGGGGATGGCAGCACAGTGACCAATTACACTAGGTCAGGAGTAGTGGGAGGAGACAAATGTGGGAAGGATGAGTATAAGCCTGCCCTCATGGTTCAGTCCTTCAATGTATCTGCTCAAGTTTTGAGCCCGGACATCTGGAAAAAGGTAACCATCTATACATTTATATGCCTTTAATTTGACAAAGAAATCATTATAGGTAGTATCTGTTATACACTACAAAAAATTACGGGATTGGCACGGAATGGGAACGGATTTACCGATCTTTCGTGCCAAAGAGCTCATGCCAAAGTGTTTTTGACACAGATTTGACATATCCCTACGAAATCCTTCTTTGTTTTTTTAAAATCCTTACCAAAATCTCTGTCAATCTCATCATGTTTTTTTGTAGTGTGAGGTTTGATTATTTTTAATGGTACGGCAACTTCTTACATAAAAGTTTTCATCTTTGATTTACTTGGGTAGCTCACCTCATAGAAGTTCTTGTTACTGTACGGTCGATTTTAGGGGTCTTAGGGTTGAATTGTCATCCTTTTTGTCATATTTGATTTTCTTGATCAATCATGTTAAATTTTAAGAAATGGTGTTAATGGAAATATTGTTTTGCAAATAATACTTTTTCATACTCCTAGAGGAGTATTTTTGAAAAAAAAAATATATCCTATTCATCTTATAAATTATTTGCATCTGTCTCATTGGTCTGATTTAACACTTATCAAAAATTGCAAGAGATTGCTCCAAATTAAATAAAAGTATAACACTGATCAATGATGTTTTCACTTTTACTTGTTTAATCTCAGACCTGATATAGAGGATGCCACGATACAAATAACGTCATATATTTATTAGAGTGAGATTTCCCAAATAAAATATAATAGGACTACATAGGATTAAATAAAAGCAAATTTGCAATAATAGGAGCAACAAGTTTAAATTCACAAAATAGGACTATATCTTCCTATCTTACCCTTTCCTTAATCATTCTTAATAGAATTTTTAAAATAATAGTAAAAAAAAGTAATAGAAAAATGTAAAAATATACATGCCTCAACCATCACCTCGTCACCTCCGGTCTCCGGAAAAGAATGTCAAGTTGGAAAAAAATGTCATCGTGATGACAATTTTGAAAAGAAAGCTGGATACTTTAAAAAAGGAATTTGGCATTTTTTCCTACGACCAAAGCTGGTTGTGCTGGTAGGTGGAGGATGCAATGGCAGTGGCCTACATTATTTTTAAATATGTTTTTAGGTATTTTAGTATATTTTTTAGAGTTTTTTTTATTTTTAGTTTTCAAGTTTTTATTATTAATTTATTAATATATACTTTTTTCATTACAGAGAGAAAACTATAATTTTATTATTAATATATAAATCCATTAGCGTTGAATGAGAAGAAGGGAAATATATTTGTCCCATTTTGGAATAAAAGGATCGTAGATAAAATTTAAGGAAAATATAAATAAAATACCTCAAACTTTGAAGATGTGTGAGGTAAGCATCCCAAACTTGCATATGTAGTTTAAATACCTCAAACTTTATATAAAAAGTTATTTTAGCACTATGTTTATGTATTATTTATTTCAAAAATGTTAATTTTTTGTGTTAATTTCATAATTTAAAATATTTTAGCATTCATGAAGATACAATTAACATTCTAAAATTTAACTGTAAAATAAATAGTAGGCTAAAGGGTCAAATAGGCCCTTCAACTGACTTAAAGTGTTCAATTAGCTCCCTTATATAAGAGGTTCTGTCCGGCCGTCGCTAATTGGGGCGGTTCCCGGTGGAATTTTTTGATGAAATTTTTTTAGCATCTTCTTCATTAAGTCTAGTTCACACATACCAAATTTCAGCTAAAAAATCAACCGGGAAGGCAGTCAAATGATTTTCCGAAATGTACCGCGCTGTTTAACTTCGCAGTTATCTTCAAAAAATCATTTGATTGCCTTTCCAGTTGAATTTTTAGCTGAAAATTGGTATGAGTAAACTAGACTTAATGAAGAAGATGGTCAAAAAATTTCATCAAAAAATTCCACCGGGAACCACCCCAATTGGCGAAGGCCGGGCAGAACCTCTTATATAAGGGGCTAATTGAACACTTTAAATCAGTTCAGGGGCCTATTTGACCCTTTAGCCTAAATAGTATCACCTCCCTCTATATAATTGTAACGTTTTCAATTTGCTATTTTAAATTATGCAACTAACACCACGAATTTACATTTTTAAGATAAATAATGCTATGTATACGATCATGGTGCTAAAATAACTTTTTATATGAAGTTTGAGGTATTTTAATTACATATGAAAATTTGGAATGTTTATGTCACTCTCCTTCAAAGTTCGAGGTATTTTAATTATTTTTTCCTAAAATTTAAGTTCTGTGTAGGACTAATACCCCTTAATTGGATGAGAAAATTTAAGTTCTACGGAGTACAGCTGAAGTTCACAAGATGACGATAGTGCTAGTTGGATGAATCTATGTAGCACCGATACCGGTACGCGGAAACGTGGAAACGCGGAAACGGGTACGGGGATACGTCAAAACAAAAAAAAGTAGGATACGGATATGGGGCCATATTTATAAATATTAAAAGTTATGGGGGTGTATTTACAAATATTAAAAGTTATAGGGGTCTATTTATAAATATTAAAAATAGATTTTTTTTTAATATATATATATATATATATATATACATACATATAATATCCTATGATGTCTACTCATTCATTGCATTGAAACATTTTCCTTTTTCAAGATACTTAGTAATAAATTCATAATATTTCTCATATACACTAGTGTATCTCGAAATATAAATGTAGTCAATAAGTCATTAATTTAAAATGAGAAATAAGTCAAACAACTACAATCTTGAAATTAAAAGTGCAAGTACCCAATTCGGAGTATGAGTTAATGACTTGATTCGGATATAGCCATATAGGCCCATTATTTGATTACCAAGTAAAATGTAGTTTTAGATTTTCATTTTTTTAGAATTTTATTAAGTAAATTTTGGGATTTTTTTTTAAAAAAAAGTTGATACGGGTATCCGTCAGGATACGAGTATCGGAAACTTTCAAAAAATTACAAAAAAAAATGGAAACTTTTAAAAATTGCAGATACGGCCCGGGAACGTACGGTACGGGTATCCTAGAGTATCGGATACGGGAACGTATCGGATACGCCGATACGCTACCCTAGAGAAGTATCCATGCTTCATAGGGATGAATGTTATCTTTTGAACTTGTTGAGAAACCTTATTCAAGAAAAAAAAATTATCTAGAAGATTTTTCTCGAGATGGAATAGTTTTTCAAACATCACTATTGTTGGTACATGGAAATACCATCAAGGATGACACCCCATCCCTGAGGGCCCCCCAACACCGACCGGACAGCACGATGAGAAGATGTAAGTTGGACTATAATCACAACCTGACCGATAGAGAGTGGGGCTCCATCAAAATCCATCAACTAAAATAATATGACGCCTTCAAAGTCATGACAGCTGCATCATTTAATCATTTTTGCCGTCACTATCCATTTAATTTGTCATGATTGAGTTGGCATTACGGATTGGGTGGGCTATGGTCATCGATATCAATATCATCTATGGTTGATGAACGAGGAGTTGGAGAATACATTTCAACTAAATAAATTAAACATTATGATATGAGTCTCTTTTCTCACTTATTAGATTTATTAGCCAATTTTTTAATCACACACATAATTTTTCATTTCGCGCGCTGAATTGTATAATAATAAAAAAAAGATAAGGTTGTATAGTAGTTACTTTTCTAGCTGTATTAGCTGAAGTTATTGCACATGATTATTTTAGCTAATTTCATTTTTTTTCTTTATTTTTATTAATAAAATATATTATAAATATAATTTTTCATAAATCAGCAGAATCAGTCAACACAGCGACTTCATCCCGAACTTCATAAATTTCAATAGAATCCACCAATATTTATCAAACAAGCTCTACAATTGGTTAAATTTTTAGTTGCATACTACGTAGAAATTTAATTTCGAATAATCAAAGCATAAGTACTACATACGCAGTTTGCTCGAGTGTTTAGACATTTGTTGGTAACAAGAGTTAATATGCAGGCACCACGCCGGCAATGCTGCGATGTGGTGGACGACGGAAATGGAATGGGCGGTGTAGTGCAAGTCAAAGTTAGAGGATGCAATCGGTGGGATTCAGTAACGCCTCCGTGAGCTGACCTATACATCACATACCATTTTCATCAATTTTATCTGTACAATATTGAATTGTATCCTTTGTATATTTATGTGATAACTCATTTGTCTAGCTAGCACACTAGTTCAATGGTTGAAATTACAAAATATAGAACACACATGAAATTGCCTTAGGAGTAACTCAGATCATCTGGGGGATTTTAAAACAATAGTGTCATGTTTTTATTATCCAAATATGAGTAATTAAATTAATACCAAATATGGAAAATATTGTCCCATATGGTAGTACATTTCATGTTTAAAGGCTAATAAGCCAAAACATGACAATGGATTTTCTTGATAAAGTAATGAACCCATATTAAGGAATATAAACATAACACTCCCATCCTATTTTTATATTCCCAATGTTTTTATTTTATTTAGAAAATTTTCTTAACATAAAGCATTCACAATAAAAGTGAAAAATAGAACTTCTATTCTTTAATATCATTCAATTCACCTTAGGTTTTCAGATAAAAAGTAGTGACAAATGATAATTATAGTAGAAATAGTATGAAAAAGGGAAAACAAATATACATTGTAGGAAAGAGGGGGGAGGAAAAAAAAAAGAATAATCTCAATTATTAGAGGCCTAGTTTAAATAATTCAAAGTATCAATTATTTCAAATTAATTCTAACTATGGAATAAAAGTCGCAAAATGCTCTGGTGACTTATAATAACCCATAAATGACTTATAATATTTACGGTTTAATAAGTCACTGAGATTATTTTGAGATAATTGATACTTTGAGGTATTTAAAGTAAGTCATTAATAGTTTGGATTATTCTTGTCCATTTTTCTAATTTAATAATCCCTCCATCTAACAAAATTTTATCAACTTTTCATATTTATTAATGGTCTAAAAAAACTTGGTCATTTCAATTCAAAGTAACAAGTACTCCGTATATGGCTAAAACTTTGATCACTTTCTATGGGACGGATTGGATATAAAACTACACAGTATAGGGACCGGCTCGTCACATGCATGATACATTCTCATTCTTTTTTAGTTGTGATGGATTTTAATTCCAACCACGATAGCTAACCTACGAAGCAGATGAAATTTAGGCAGCGTAAGACAATGTATTATTATTTAGGAGACGGATCCCTTATAGGGTATGTACAGGAAGTATACATAGACCTTAAGTTATACTCCCTCCGTATCAAATTAATTGACCCACTTTCCTTTTTTGGTGTATCAATTTAATTGACCCATTTCCCTTTTTGGAAAGAATCCCACTCAAAAAGCAGCTACAGTACTGCTACAGTACTGCTACAGTGTCACTACAGTACCAAAAACCTCTTACTTTTAATAAAGTCTACAGTAATTGTCTTAAACTGCGTGAAAAAGAAACGGGTCAATTAATTTGATACGGAGGGAGTAGTAGTCTATGAGGAAACCGATACATTTAATACATGCAATTATCATCCCTAGATCCACATTTTTCCGTTAGTTGTCTACCGCTGCCACATAACTATGCTCAAATGGTAGCCTGTCACATAAGTCCTATGATATATCCGGCCTCGCTGGAATCCCGCCTAGGTTCGAGGTCTGGTGTCCAAACCGGCCTGCTGATTGTGGGTTCCTTTCGCGGGTAGAGTTCTTAGTTAGGCCTAGTGGCTATTACTAATTATTAATCCCATGGGTTGTCCCCGTGTAATGGGCTTTGTTCCAATTCACTGTTGGGTCATGGTTCTGATCCATGGTACCATCAAGTTGTGACACTTCTATTTTCATGTTTGTCAATCCACAATTTTGACCATTAATTTATTTAAACTATTACTGAAAAAAATATAAATATAGAGCGAGTTTGGTAACACGAAATTTGGCTGATTCAGCTTATTCTACTAAAATTTATGAAGTTCTGGCTTAAGTAGCTGCATTGGCTGATTCTTCTGATTTAAGAAAAAAAATATTTTTAAAATATATTTTATTAATAAATCAATGAAAAAGTTATATGTAAAAATAGCTAAAAGGTCATCTACAGTTTCTTCAGCCAATACAACCAAAATTTACGTGTTTGGTGAAAAGTTGGTTGATACGCCTGATACGTCGAAAAACAGTGTTACCAAACGGCCTAATAGTATATTTTCATTTTCATTCGGCTAAAGGGTCAAATTGGCCCATGTACCCTTTCGGAGTGCTCAATTTGCCGCCTGAACTAAAAAACGTTTGAATTGACACCCTGAACTCTATAAAGATTCAAATTTCACTTTATATTTATATTTTGAATTTACCGAAAAAATATAAATAATTTTACCATATTATATGTTATACTACCTTCGTCCCTTTTATATTGGGACGGAAGAGGGTGACACGATTATTAAGAAAAGTGGGTTTGTGTGGTTGATATTAATTAATAAAGTAAGAATAAAGTAAGAATGAGTTAGAGCCACACAAACTTTACCAAATATGATATGAAACAATTTTAGTGGGATTTTCCGAAAAGGTAAAAAACGGGACAATATAAAGGGGACAAAGTAAGTAATATACTCCGTAGCTTATAACTTATACTCCCTCCGTCCCACTAACAATGGGACAAGAGGGAGTGACACGCAAACTAATAAAAAGTGGTTTATGTGGTTGATATTGAATTGATAAAGTAAGAATAAAGTAAGAATGATTTAGAGCCACACAAACTTTGCCAAATTTGTATGTGACAATCTTAGTGGGACAGACCGAAATGGTAAAACGGGACAATCTTAGCGAGACGAAGGGAGTATTTGTTTTTCAATTTATTTTAAAGGCTAAAGGGTCAAATAGGCCCTTGAACTGACTTAAAGTGTTCAATTAGCCCCTTATATAGGAGGTTCTGCCCGGCCGTCGCTAATTGGGGCGGTTCTCGGTGGAATTTGTTGATGAATTTTTTTGAGCATCTTCTTCATTAAGTCTAGTTTACCCATACCAATTTTCAGCTAAAAATTCAACTGGGAAGGCAGTCAAATGATTTTCCGAAATGTATTGCGCTGTTTAACTTCGCAGTTATCTTCAAAAAATCATTTGACTGCCTCCCCAGTTGAATTTTTAGCTGAAATTTGGTATGGGTAAACCAGACTTAATGAAGAAGATGCTCAAAAAATTTTATCAAAAAATTCCACCGGGAACCACCCCAATTGGCGACGATCGGGCAAAACCTCCTATATAAGGGGCTAATTGAACACTTTAAGTCAATTCAAGGGCCTATTTGACCCTTTAGCCTATTTTAAATTTATCCCAATGTTGAACCTTTTTTAAAGTTGAGGGGTTTAATTGAACAATTAGAACATGTTCAGAGACTAATTTGAACTTTCAAATTTGAAGTTAGATGCATAGTTGACAACTTGACCGGTTACATGGCGAGTGATCGGATGGTGACCCGTTAAAACTGACAATTGTATCTTTTTTAATTTCCAATATAGGGTTCAAATTTGACTTTTTTTAGTTCAGGGATTGAATTCGGATTACTTGACAGGTGCAAGGACCTATTTGATCCTTTAGCCTAAAATAAAATGACGAAAACAACATATTTTTTTCATGAAGTTAGAAGTGTATTGGCTTTATTCGGCTTGCTTTAAGATCAATTTTGTTCACCCCTCAATGGATGATTGGAGGGTGAACATCACCCCACCCTATTTTCTTGCCATGTGGCATGGCAATTAGTTACAATAATATTGCAATTAGTTTAACTTTTTACTTTTCTAATCCTTCTTTTTTGAATCCTATCACATTTTTTATTTTTTTTTTCGATCTTTCGTATGATATCAATATTGCGTATAAATGATTTTAAAAAAATCTAGCTAAAAATGAATATTTAGAACATAATACGTTTATAAATGCAAAAAAAAATGAAAATAATACTTTTATTTCCATTTTCTTATATACAATATTAATACATCGGAAAGATCTTAAAAATGATTAAACATGTTGTACCTTTTTATAAAATTTGGACAATAACTTACATGTTATTGTAATCTAAACAAAAAAGAAGAAAAGGAATACCAAATGGCAAGAAATGAACCAATTAGACTCTTGCTTTGGTACACATGCATTGCCGGCGTCAAAGAACTAATTCGCCGACCATATAATGAAACTAATTGAAGAAGGTACAAACTACAAACATACACGTTGTACCTCTTGATGGTAGGAGAATAAAAGCATCCTAGAATTGACCATTTGTGCAACCGAGACAACATTGTCACGGTGTACAGACTTTTACCGCAGATATGGTTTAATAATTTTTCTTAGGGATCGGCATGATCCGAAAGTCTGATAAATTAATAAAACTCGTAATGTGCTCATGAAGTCATGAGGATTCTAACTGTTTGATATATTCCCATTCTAAGGATGAAATTATTCAGTATAATGTCATTTTGGAATGTTACTATAGATTGTTTATCATAGGATATCACTTGTGGTATCTAAATTGAAGACAAAGTAATAAGTAAGAGAGAGAGAGAGAGTATGCTGTATGCGGTAGCTTTAAATAACCAGTGGTCCGTTACAACTGCCCAATGGACGCTATTTGTACTAGTCATAATTCATAAATGTTAAGTACATTAAATGCACATACACATGGCAGTTGCTATGTCTTTGGCGGAGAGCCCCCTGTTATGTGGGTGCTAGCACGTGGACAGAGAGGAGTCTGTGCCAAGACTAGGGCCTTCGGCACTGGGGCCGGAGGCTGTATGACCGAAGACTGGTGTGAGGAAGCGAATCTCCCAGGCCTGTCGTTGGACCAAAACAGGTTGATTCCCCTGAGTTTGAGGCCCTGGTTGTGTCGTACTCGGGCTGTTGTATTCAGGCCGCTAGTGTCCGCTGGGCCTATTCCTTGTAGCAGGAGTATGTGGGCCGGGGGTTTTCGGGCTATATAATCCATCAGTTACAAAACAGTAAAGTACAATGTCAAACACTTGCTAATTTTTTTGGACAAATCTTGCAATTGTATATATCATCACACCCACTAACTCACATAAAATGTTAATAAAAATACAAGAAATTGCATACTAAATACTAAGAAAGATTCAAGAGGGTGAAAATTTGTATTTAAATTCACAAATACTCAAATAGTGTAACACAATTAAGAAAAAATATAGCAAAACAGTGATATACTAGATAATATCCTCTTTAATTTATTAAGTTCATGTGAAAATAAAAAAAAAATACATCAAATTGTTGAATATATAATATAAAAAATCAATGTTCTTCTTTGTTTTAGTT